ACATCGTCAAAGAGGTAAAGGAGACCGTCCGGGAGTAGGCTATCACATTTGAGATATCAGCCAGGAGAGCCAAGTCTGGGAATTTGGTCTTGGAGACGTCCGACAAGGATCAAGCAAATAATCTGGCTTGTGCCCTTAAACGTCGCCTTGGCGACTTCAGGGGCATCAGGCGCCCCAACCCGAGTGTTGCTCTAATCCTCATCGGCATCGAAGACTCTGTGGACGAAGCCGAACTAAAAAGCACATTAGAGGCACATGATCCGGAGCTGAAGACACTGAACGATATCACGATACGTGAGGGTCATAACGGAGTGAGATCAGCCATCGTGCGCGTCTCGGTCTCACCAGGACCAGGGCTCAAGCTAGCCCGCCTCAAGAAGTTGAGGGTGGGCTGGGCTATGTGCCGGATCAAAGAGCTGGCACCTAGGCAAGGTTGTGCCAAATGCTCTGCCCCTGGCCATGCAACCTGCGAGTGTAAGGGCGAAGAGAAGCGAAAGTGCTTCAGGTGCAAGGAAGTGGGCCATCTTATTGCATCCTGCATGCTCTCTCATCATGGTGAGAAGTCTGGAGAGCCGGACCGAGGCCAGCGCATTGAGGTGCCAGTCAAGCCAGTGGCATCCCAGTCATGCCTCTAATGATAGACCGAGGACCGGTGATTAAGGTCTTGCAGGTGAACCTTAATCACTGTTGGACGGCGCAACAGCTCTTCCTGCAAACGGTTGCCGAACTTGACATCGACGTCGTCATTGTGAGTGACTACAACTGTCCGCTAGGGCAGGCACCGCAATGGTTTGCAAGCTCTGACAACAAGTGCGGTTTGTACGTTACGGGCAGATCAACAGCCACCGTATCGGACCAAGGCTCTGGAGTCGGCTTCGCATGGGCGAGGGTGGGTGGCAAACTACTCTATAGCTRCTACTATACCCCGAATTGTACGACTCAAGTATTCGACTGGTTTCTCGGTGGTCAGGTTAGTCAGGTGGTCTAGAGGCATCGGTCCGAAGTCAAGCCAGCGCGGGGATTGACGTCATTGTTGCAGGGGACTTTAACTCGCACTCCGCAGAATGGGGCTCCTCGACAGAGGACATCACAGGATCTCTGTTGTCCGACTTTGCCTCGGCGCTTGATCTGACGGCGTGCAACGTGGGTACCGTCTCGACGTTCAGGCGGGTCAATGCCATCTCCGTGATCGATGTAACCTTTGCACGATCTGCGGACAACCGATCACTGGTGCACGACTGGTCCGTCCTAGAACAACGATACTCTGGCAGCGACCACGAGTACATTGCGTACTCGGTGTTCAAACACGAGCCGCATAGACACCCAACGGAAGTAGCTCRGCCGGGTGGATGGTTGGTAAAGCAACTGTCTCCAGCTGCCATGAAGGAGCATTGGGATCGTGTGGGTGCACCCCATGCCCTTCCGCGGAATGCTTCTACGGAGGAGCACGTGGAGCGTCTCCAAGAATACTTGACGCAGGCCTGAGACGCAGCGATGCCGGCAAGATCAATGGTAAGAGGCAAAAGAGCAGTACACTGGTGGAGCGAAGAAATAGCTGAACTGCGGAAGACCGCTATTGCKGCCCGTAGGAGCTACCAGCGTGCGRGGCGCAGATCCAACACAGAAGGCCGCGAAGAGAGGTTCCAAATGTACAATCAGGCAAGGAAGGTGCTGAGGACCACCATAAGAAAGGCGCAGGAGAGTTCCTGGAGAAAGATGTGCGACTCCGTCGACTACGACCCTTGGGGAGGGCCGTACAGACTGGTGACCAACAGCTGGGGCGCCGGCTTCCCGTCATTGAAGAACCGACGCTAACAAACATCACGAGAGCACTGTTCCCCGCACTACCAGCAGTCGACTGGGAGTCAGTTCCTCTGGAGCATAGCGTCCCCACTGTGATTCTTGAACAGTCGGAAGTCCTGATACCGCCGGTCACAGTAGACGAACTGTGGTCAGCTGCCAGGAAATTGCCATCGGGTAAGGCTCCGGGTCCCAACTTTATCCCCAACGAAGCAATTAAGCTGGCGGTGAAACGTAGCCCTGAAACATTCTTCGAGACGTTCAACGCATGCTTGATTAACGGCCAGTTCCCTCGCAGATGGAAACGCGCCAAACTGGTCCTGCTACACAAGKGTGTTGGAAAACCACCGGACCAACCATCTAGCTACCGACCAATAAGCTTACTCGATGGCAGTGGCAAACTACTGGAGCGAATTCTGTTGAATCGTCTCGAAGCCCACATAGTAGGAGTCGGAGCTCTCAGCAGCTGCCAGTTTGGATTTAGACGCTGTAGGTCAACCACTGACGCCATCGAGGAAGCCTTGAAGGCTGCACGTGAAGCTGGTAGAGGTGCCATCCAGAACAGACATCTCTGTGTGGTGGTGACGCTCGACGTCAAAAACGCYTTCAACACGGCGCCTTGGAGGCTGATTGACGAATCACTGCAGAGATCGTCTGTTCCGGAGTATCTCATAAAGATGCTAAGGTCCTACATGTCCGATCGCAAGCTTCTGATCGGTGGGGATGTCACCGCGGAAGGAAAAAACCTTGCAGTCACCTGCGGCGTTCCACAACGATCGGTTAGGTTCATTAGATTTTCTATTACGGCGTCCAACGCTTGCCTATTCGAGGAGACGCAAAACTGATCGCTTTTGCTGACGATGTAGCGGTAGTAGCGGTAGCTCACAACGCTGTTCTTTTGGAGCAACTCGTTAATCCAATCCTCTCGGATATCGCCAATTTGATGAGAGAAAACGGGTTGAGACTTGCTCCTGAGAAGTCCGAGTGCGTCATGCTCAAAAGCAAGCACGCATATTCATTGACACAGCTGCACATTGAGGGTTTCCAAGTCCAAMGAAAAGAGCCATCAGGTATCTCGGAGTGCAGCTGTATACCAGACTGTCTTTCGTGGAGCACGTCACTACAGTTGCTGCGGGGGCCAGAAGAGCAGCGGCGGCGATCGGAAGGCTGATGCCGAACGTGGGTGGACCCTCTCAGTCGAAACGCAGTCTGCTAATGAGCGTTGTGCACTCCAGATTACTCTACGGCGCCCAAGTATGGGCCGACAGAGTTCAAGGCTTGGCGAAAGCGAGAGAATTACTGTCAATGGCTCAGAGGACAGCCKMCTTGAGAGTAGCCAGGTGCTACCGTACGGTATCGGACATGGCAGCGCAAGTACTTGCGAGAATGCCCCCCGCCTTCCTCCTGGCACTGGAGAGGAAGAGAGTTGGCGAGTCTAGGAAGACAGGCGTGCACCTAACCAAGTTGCCTGCACGAGAAGAGACTATTAGACAATGGCAGGTGCATTGGGACTCCACGTCGAAGGGGGCATGGACAAAACGGCTGATACCGGACCTCCACARATGGTAGCATTACGGACCGAGGCAGTTGACTTTCAACATTACGCAGGCCCTTACCAACCATGGCTGTTTTCAGAAGTACCTGTACTCAAAACAGAGAGCCCAGCAGCCGTCATGTGTGCACTGTGATGCCGAGGTGGATGACGCCGAGCACACAATATTYGATTGTGCATTTTGGGAAGCGGAAAGAGCGGAGCTAGTGCGGTTACTAGGAAGGCAACCCCGACCATTAGATGTGCAGGATTTGCTATGTGGACCTCGAGCAGTGGACCTACCGACCGAAGGTAAGCTAAAGAGCGCCATTCTAGGAAAGGCCCTAACCTTGTCAAGAAGCTTCACTGGCATGGTAGAAGCCATATTGGGGAAGAAACAGGTTCTGGAGAGAGAAAGGCAGTGGAATGGCTAGTCGAAACTAAACACTTTAGTTAGTGGCGGCCAAGCCAACAGCATCCAATATGATAAGTACAAGCAACAACAGTGAGTCCCACCGTGARGCCCTCCTATCGGGAGGGTACGGACCTCACGAGACGGCAACTGGGGGTGGACTCGCCCCAGGGGTCGAATCACCAAGCCCAATCCCGAGTGAGGGGGTGTCCAGCGTAGCCCCCTCATCCGGTAAGACTACCGCTGAGACAGTCGTGTCCCAGAAGGGCACGTAACGGAACCTGGCCAACAATGGAGATTCGGAACGACATGAGAAAACGGACGCTGCAGCGTCACATGCCACGCAGAGGAGCACCAGCCCTAGGCTGCAGACGAAGCTGATGCCCTCGGACTCCAGCAGGTAAACCAACCTCCAGGCGGTAATGGCAACCCTAAAGAATGCAATTAAGCAACAGAACAAAGCCTTAAACGGACTGATTACAACGGTGGAACACCTGAAACTTACTAGGGAGAAAACGAAATCCCCGACGGTCGCAAACGCCATTGACGAGGTCACGGAGGCKGTGGAAGCCCTAAAATCAACCACAAACAGCGTCCACGGTGCCTTCTACGAGGCAGAGAAGGCAGCGGTTAGGGTACAAATCCAAGGCCAGAACGAAGCAAACCTTGCTATCCAATAGGCCATCCTCAAGGTCTGCGAGGAACTCAAGGCCAGCGTAAGCAAGCAGCAGGAGGACATTGAGGAAATGAGAAACACACAAAATGCACCGGCACCCAGCTACGCCTCAAAAACGGATGGACACCGAGATGCGTCTCGAGAAAATTCTCCACGGCTTAAACCTGCCACCACAGAGGGCACACCAGATCAAGAAACCGAATCGGAATAACATTGGACAAAGGAAAYCAGAGCCAGGAAAAGCAAGGCCTCGAAGAAGCCACCAGTGGAGACCTCTAAGAAATTCAAAAGGCCCCTTCCACACTCTATATCGGTCAAGCCTGAAAACGGGGAAACGTACTCYGACATCCTTAAGACAATCAAGCAAAAAGTGGACATCAACGCTATTGGGTCTCAGGTGACACCATCACGGAGAGCCGAAAGGGAGAAATCCTCATTAGGCTAAAGCATGAAGACCAAAAGAGGGAAGAACTCGTAGAGGAGCTCAAGAACAAGCTGGGAGACCGCGCAGCTATAAGAGGCCTAGTCAGCCAGGACGTCGTAGTCATCCAAGACCTCGACAGCGTTACGACTGAAGCCGAAGTGGAAGGCGGCATCAAAGCCACACTAGGTCTACCCACAGACGACAAATCGATTGCAGTTAAAAGTATCCGCTCGGCCCACGCAGGCACACAAAGAGCTACGGTAAGGCTAAAGAGCCTACACGCAATAGAACTTGTAAAGAAGGGCCGCATAAAAATTGGATGGATCAACGCGAGGGTCAGACCAAAAGCCACCACCACCAGATGTTTTAGATGCTTAGGATACGGGCACACAACACACACGTGCAGAGGCCCAAACAACGATAAAGCCTGTAGTCTCTGCTGCGGCGAAGACCACAGGGCTTCTGCATGCACATCGCCCCCGAAATGCGCAGCCTGCATGGACATAAAGGAGCCAGCAAACCACTACCCCCGGCAGCAGCAAGTGCACCGCATATCGGTCAGCACTGTCCAAAGGAAAAACTCCGAACAACGAGAACAGGGAGCCAGGCGCCAGATCTGACACCGGAACCCACCACCAAGATGCCTAAATATCTGCAAATAAACCTTAACTGCTGTAAAGCAGCTCAGGCCCTGTTGCACCAAGTTGCGACAGAGGAGGCGGTGGTCTTCATATTTACAAGTGAACAGAACAGAGAAGAAGGAGCAAACTGGTACGCTGACACACTGGGCAAGGCAGCCATTGTCAACATCAGCATAACAAGGCTAGACAAAGAGGGACTGGGTGAGGCAGGTTTTAGGTGGGTAGAAGTACACGRCCTGAGACTGTACTCTTGCTACTGGTTTCCTAACTCCACCATCCAGGACTTCAAAGACTTCGTAACAAGGCTAGAGAGGTCAATAAAAAGGGAGACAACAGAGGTCCTCCTAACAGGGGACTTCAATGCAAAACACGCTGACTGGGGCTGCCCGAGGAACGACAAGAGAGGCGAGGCCTTAATGAACTAAAGGTTAGGTTAGATTAGGGATGTCTGGGCTAATGAGGTACATCACGTGGCTAAGTACAGAAACCTGATGCTCCAAAGCCAGAGGTGTGCTGCCCTCAGAGTGGTGAGATGTATAGATCGGTTTCAGACATGGCTGCTCTTGTTCTGGCAAGGATGCCGCCAGTCACACTGCAGGCAATCGCGYGCAAGCGTGCCAATGCTCTCAGGCACGAAGGTGTGGTCTTGACAAAGCAGCAGAAAGAGGATGAAACGATTGGTCAGTGGCAGGCGATGTGGGACGTCTCCACTAAAGCTGCGTGGACGAAGGAGCTCATACCGGATCTGCGAAAATGGTGGAGGCTAACCTAACCTAACCACATGGCCCAAGCCCTAACAGGCCATGGCTGCTTCCAGAGCTATCTGTGGCGGAAAAGGAAAGCTGAAAATTCGGGGTGCGTGCACTGTCCGGCTGTGTTCGATGATGCAGAACACACGTTATTCTTTTTCCATTCTGGGATGCAGCAAGAACGAACGTCGCTGCGGCGTTWAGGAACCCAGTCGGTCCAGAGGACGTTYCGTACCTCCTGTGCGGCCCCGACCCACAAGAGCTCCCAGACGAACCATACCAACGGAGAAGGATAATCATGGCTTCAAAGAGACACAGGGAACTCTTTCAACAGATGGTGGATACCATTCTCTCCGAGAAAGAAGAATTGGAGAGGCAGTGCCAGCGCCAAAGGAGAATATAGAACCGGTAGTTAAGTTTATTTGTTGTGGGCTGAAACGGCCAATCAKGGAGGTTAGAGGCCCCCAGGTTTTGTAATTTTTATCTAATACTGATTATTTGTTGTGATGTTATTTTGATTGAAATAAACGATGTGGCCAGGGAGGCAGCAATGGGGAAACCTTTTCCCCTCCCTGACTGCGATTCAAACTGAAAAAAAGGTTAGGTTAGGTTAGGTTAGGTGAAAAAAATTCGTCGGCAAATGCCTCGAGGAGTGCAGATCCATCTTCCCGGTAACATAGCTGCTTTTCTCCAAATAAACGCAAATAGGAGCAGGGAGGCCCAAGCTTTGGCTTTCCACAAACTTAAGGAGAAGGAAGCAGATGTCCTGTGTATAAGTGAACCAGGTTAGGACCTTGCACTAATAGGAAAAAGCAAATTTWTGTACGAACTCGAGGCATCTTTCTCTACTGCAGCTGAAAGTGTCAAGACCTGGTTGGACAACGCTGGTCTCGAGCTGGCTATTGAAAAATCGGAGGCAATCATTCTCACTAACACGCGCACCCACAATGACTTCTCCATTGAGATCGGAGGAGTAGAAATTAAGGGTGGAGAAGTTATTAAAATCTGGGCATGTACCTAAGCCCAAAGTTGAGCTTCACCGAGCACGCGTCGAACATCGCCGAAAAAGCAGGCCAAGTTGCAAACAATCTTGCCAAAATTATGCCAAATATTAGTGCAGCGAGGCCAAAAGCGAGAAGACTTCTGGCAAATGTGGTCCACTCGATCATCTTATACGGTGCCCCGGTCTGGGCCTCACTAATGAGCCGGACAGGCATAAGTGAGCTGGTTAAAGTGCAAAGGTGGACAGCACTTAGAGTCACCTCCGCA